GGCGACCCCTGCCCAGATTCCATGGACTGATTGCGTGGGAGAACACGAGCAGACGGAGATTGCTCGCTACCGACTCGTCCGACAGTACGTGAAAAATACGCCACTACTACGCTGGCTTTTTTCGTTTTGTTTTTCACTAATAGGCTAATGTAATACATTGATTTAGCATACCTAATATTTAAATTTTCCTAATATTGTTAACCCTATTCAAATACCTAATATTAACATCACAATTGTCGTGACAATCACATCGCTTTTAGTGGTTACAATTTGCTTCACATGAATGGTTGATATTACAGATAACGAGTGGTCCTTACACTGGTCATAGTATACGGGCCGCGTCTCGTCGAAACGATTTGTCCTTGCTACTTGCGATTGACAATCAGTGGCCAGTCCAGCTGTCAGCGTGTCATGCACACCGGCGAGAAAATGTTACCACGCTGCCACTGTTCCCGCGGTACGTTCTCACCATTTGTGTGTGTGTGTGTGTGTGTGTGTTGACTGTGTTGTGTGTGGTGTGTGTAGTGTGTGTGTGTGACGCTGTGTGTGTGTTGCGCGTGCGTGAGCCCGTGCGGTGGTTCACGTCGCGTGTGCGTGTGGCGTGGGCGTGTGCTGTGTGTGTGTGTCGGTTTGTAGTGCGTCGCAGGTGCGCGTGTCTGTGGCGTGCGTGCGCGTGTGCGTGTATGGTTTGTAGTGTGCGTGCCAGTGGCATATGTGCTCGCGCATTGCGCGTGGGCCTGTGAGCTGTGAGCGTGTGTTGCGCGTATAGTGTTTCGTTGCGCAACTATCTGTTAATCGATGACTAAATTTCTACCTGCGCTTTAAGATTCGCCTCAGAATTATATGTAAATTTAGCAGTCATAAGAAACGCTCGCCAGCCGACACCAAACTCACATAAACGGGCTAGTATATAAGTTGTTAACGTTTGATCTGAAATGTTTTCCAAGCGTGCACCTTTCACGCATAATTTCGGCCCGCAATCCTATACCAAGCGTTTCTCATTATAAGCCATGGACAATTGTCAGGCGCTCACACATTAATATAACCTAATGGAAGATATATAATATACTAATATATATATATCATATATATATATATATATATATGCAGGACGTGAAAAAAAAACAAAAAATGATTTATTTTCGAAAATATTCACTCCCTTGATGTATACACACACACGCTACGCCACGCACGCACGCACCGCACACGCCACGCACGCACGACCCACGGCACGCACACACACACACACACACACACATATATATCATATATATATTATATATATATATATACATTACACAACATATATATGATATATATACACGCACGCAGCGCACGCCGCACGCACAGCACGCACGCACGCACGCACGCACGCACGCCACGCACGCACAACACACACACACACACACACACAATACTATACCAACACACACACACACACACACACACAGCACAACACACACAACACAACACACACACACAACACACACACACACACACACAACACATATATATACTATATATATATACATACACACGCTATCAAACAATTCAGGATGTGAATAAAATTAACAGCTTTCACGGGTGCCAATGATAATCGTTCATCATTAATTTAGGCGACAAGTGCTAATGCGGTGACGATGATCCTTGTTGATGACTGTCCATGCACCGTCTACTTGATACAACAAACGGGACAGAAACACGGATGGTTTATTCCGTCCGGATGTCAACTTCACTGGAGACTACGACTGCCCCAGAACTGGTACGTGTACTACACTCATCTTATATACTATAAGAGCACTCTGGATAATCAACATGTTCTGCTGCTGCATCTATGACAAATACGACATACGCATATACGCTCTTTATATGACATTATTTGTCATAGGAAGATTCTTCCTATGACAAATATTTGGCGAGCCAACTTCGTTCGCTTTACAGGCTGAAATTCACTGCTGGCGTTCAAAATAGCGCTCCTAAACTCCTACGATGCGCACAAACATACAGCAATATTTGTCATAGAAAGAATCTTCCTATGACAAATAGTGTCATTAGGAGAGCGTATATGCGTATGTCATATTTGTCATCGATGCTAGCAGAACAGACTGCGGTAAATAGATGAAGAGATAATAGCAGGAGTAAATAATAATAACAATTGTGTGGGTTGCTGATTATTTACTCCTAACTATAGCTATCTTGGGGTCATAAATACCCATTATACTATCAGAGGTGAATTATAAAAAAAACAGATACGTTTTTTTTATTTACTACTGATGCTATCAGATGTCACGAGTATTGCACAACACTTCCTGTGCAAAGGATAGGACATTTTATACCTATACATGATGTCATAATTTATTTATGATATTTCCGAGAACGAAAAACAAATATATACTCGCTATTCGTGTTGCTTTAGTTCCGGGTGCGAGCTGCTATACTAGCATGAGATATCGCATCTAACATCGCTTAATAGGATAACATTTGATGTTTGTTGATATGGTATATCTATGCATCAGCTCCGCAAAGAACGACCGTCGTTTGATCTTGTTTTGTTGGTATGCTTGTTGATAACATTTGATAATTTTTCCAATCTTCCAGCACCTGCGAGGCAGGAGGTTGCTAACTGTGTAAATTTCCCGGAATATCCGTGTCGCGGTAAGCACGACTAAACCAGATCACTGCCAATTAAATTCACGAATGCTTAGTAATATATCAATTTGAAACCAGTAGCACTAATCAGTAATCCGTTGGTGTGTGTCAAGGTGCGCTTAGGGCTCATGGATATTGTGGGGAAGTATTATCAGGAAAGTCAGGCGAAATGGCTAAGTTTAACAGCAGATTAATTATACACTATGTGCTAGTTTTACGTGTCATCGCTAATGTCATGCAGTAAAAAATCACGAATTGTGTTTGATACGCAAGGTTTTTACCGATATTATATGGATTATATATATAAAAATAAATAAATAAAAATAATATAATTATTTATTTATTTATTTATTATATACGATACCCGCTATCTGTGATTATTTTACTCCTGTTAATGTTGTGATTAAACACTATGCTGCTAGTTTATGTGGCATTGCTAATCTGTGATTGCATGTCTGCATGCATGTCTGATGACAGTGGAGCTGCGATGCATGGACATCCTGGAGTCCGTGTCACGTGTCGTGCGCAGCCACTGTGCGCTTACTACACGTACAGATACAGAGAGTGTCCTGAGAGCATGCCGGACACGACACGAGGTGGACGCAGTGTCCGCCAATATCCCAATGCCCTAGTAAGTGCAATACCATTTAAAGGTGTAAATGACCTCAATGCCTCGACCTATCTCTCGCTCTCTCTCGCTCTCTCTCGCTCTCTCTCGCTCTCTCTCGCTCTCTCTCGCTCTCTTCTCGCTCTCTCTCTCTCTCCTCTCTCTCTCTCTCTCTATCTCCTATCTCTATCTCCTCTCTCTCTTCTCTCTTTCTCTCCACACATGCACACGCACATATGCGCACACACGCACACACACACACACACACACACACACACACAGGTCACAGACCACGCACCACGCGCACGCGCACACGCACACAGACACAACGCACGCACGCGCACGCGCACCGCGCACGCGCACGCGCACGCACACGCACACGCACACGCACACGCACACGCACACGGCACACGCACACGCTCACGCTCACGCACACGCACACGCACAGCACACGCACACGCACACGCACACGCACACGCACACCACACGCACACGCACACGCACACGCACAACACACACACACACACACACACACAACACACACACACACACACATACATACATAATACATACATACATACATACATACATTACATACTACATACATATATATATATATATATATATATATATATATATATATATATAAACGAAACAAAATTCGCCCACGCCCTATTCTAACAAAGTGAGCCACAGAACTTTAAAGCAGCATTATCTGCTGAAACTGGCACACGTTTATTTTTATAATCGCTAGACGAATTACATTCATAACGCACGTTCAAGATAAAATGTTGCCCGGTGACGACTCAACTGTGTCGTTGTATTCGCAGTGGACTGTTACTGGATGAACTGGTCGACGTGGTCTACATGTAGCGCCACCTGTGGCGGCGGAACGAAACAACGCTCCAGATGGTTTATGCCAGAGATGAATGGAGGAATTCCATGCACTGGATCGAGCAACGAAACTTACCCGTGCAACACCGACGAATGCCCGAGTGAGCCTTTGTAGAAATTATTATAGAACTATAGGAACTAAAACGGAAGAGAGTCGACTTCTGGCCACCGCCACAAAAAACCCACCGACCACAGCAATCATTTTTAGTATCATCTAGCAATATTTATCGGCTAGTGCGTATTTGCGGTTATGTTTCGTTTAGGGGGTAGTCTTAGGGTTAGCGGCAGAGCTAGGGTTAAGCACCGCAGAAGTAGTGTTACCAAACAAGGTAAACTAGAAACTAAGAAGTAGTATACAGAATACGAATGTGTCTCAGAATCACATTTCGATGATAGAGAGACTGAGTGCTTGTTTGTTCTTATCCAGCGACGGAATGTCCGTACGGACAGATCTACGACGAGTGTTACGCGGAGTGCAAATATAACTGCATGGATCTCTCGCAGACGACTTCTTGCCGCCACCCTCCATACTGCATTCCTAGATGTCGCTGCCCGGATGGCATGCTTCTCCATAACAACACGGTATTGAGCTAGCTTCCTACGCCGTCCCCTCCTTCTTTCTCCTGCTTCCTACCCTCTGCTTCTTATTAATCTTCTTCTTCTTCTTCTTCTTCTTCTTCTTCTTCTTCTTCTTCTCCTTTTTCGCCCCCTCCCACTTCTTCTTCTTCTTCTTCTTCTTCTTCTTCTTCTTCTTCTTCTTCTTCTTCTTCTTCTTCCCCTCCTCCTCTTCTTCTTCTTCTTCTTCTTCTTCGTCTTCTTCTTCCTCTTCTTCTTTTTTTCCTCCTTGATTGGTGTGTGTATCAATTAGCAGCATATGGAAAGCAACGGAATAATTGCATGATCATATTTTATACGCAGTGGCTACGCGTCCGGTCATCCATTACAAAGCTCATCACAGATTTCCAAATCCACGTCGCTATTAGTTAGTTTTTAAACCGTAGGATGATGAATCACGCGTCTCTGATTGGTACGTGCGGTCGAGGTTCTATCCCAGAAACCACCGCAGCCTACGCCCTACGCCCTACTTCTACCCTAACCCTAACCCTAACCCTAATTAAATTTAATTAACACTAATAAATTTAATTAAATTAAAAAAAAAAATTTAAATTAAATTGTTGTAAATAAATCATGTAAATATTTGCGTTAATTTGATAAAGAAAATAAAAAGATAGAAAAATAAAAAAAATAAACAAATGGGATTCGAACTAACGCACTACCAGCTATAGTCCAGACATTATGTGATAGGACCTCGGACAAATTGCAACAGAAAGTGTCTCAAGTGTCTTATGCTCTTGGAGGTGTCCACTATAACATATCAAAACTCTTAAGGAATCCTGGTGGTGGAAGGTTCCATGGCGGCCATTTTT